TCTCTTTTCCTGCTGGGTTTGGCCCCAGGGCAAAGTGGGCCGCCGAGGTGGGGCGGTGAGGAGGCTTGGACGGGCGCGCTGTGAGCTGGCGTTTTATGCTTTCTGGTTTATCAGATTAAGGAAGTTCCCCTCCTATCTTTTCATTTTTTTTTTTTTTTTTTTTGAGACGGAGTCTGCTCTGTCGGCCAGGCTGGAGTGCAGTGGCCGGATCTCAGCTCCACTGCAAGCTTCCACCTCCGGTTTACGCCATTCTCCTGCCTCAGCCTCCCGAGTAGCTGGGACTACAGGCGCCCGCCACCTCGCGCCGGGCTAGTTTTTTGTATTTTTTAGTAGAGACGGGTTTCACTGTGTTAGCCAGGATGGTCTCGATCTCCTGACCTCGTGATCCGCCCGTCTCGGCCTCCCAAGTGCTGGGATTACAGGCTTGAGCCACCGCGCCCCGGACTTCCTCCTATTTCTAGTTTGCACACACTTTATTATCAGAAAACGGATCCTGAATTGTATATTAAGCATTTTTACGTCTTTAAATGATGACGCCTCCAGTTCCGATTCCAGCCACTCTGGCTGATGGGCCTGGTCACAGGGGAGGCAGGTCCCTTGGGCAGGTGAGAGGGACCTGTGTGCGCCACCCCCAGGACAGGTGGGAAGAGCCTCTGCTCCCTCGCCCATCCCCAGCCCTCTGAGAGAAGCCCCATCTGAACAGCTTCTCTCTTCTGTGAGTTCTTCTGAGATGAGTGTCAGTGAGGGAGGAGGACGGTTGACTCTGGCCTTGTCCAGACGGGCCTCAGCTCCCAGGCTGCCCAGTACATGGCCACATTCCCTGCATCAAGGGTACAGGACCTGCGTGGACCTGCCAAGGCAGGTAGGCTTCACCCACACCCTGACTCCTACCCTCTGAAGAACAGGGAGGAGGCCTGCTTGGCCCTGGCAGTTGCACCACAGCACATCTGCACATGCCTGTGCCTGTAACTACATTGGGCAGTGAGCTGTCTGGGGTGGGCTGGTCAACAAGCTTCCCTCAAGCAGGCGGCCATGAGGAGGGGCAGCATGTCTGTGGTTTCACGTTTGTCCCTGTTTCATGGCCTTGTTTATCCACTCGTTTCTGTGGGAAGCACGGTGCCCCAGAGGCCGGGGTGAGTGATGCCTGCCTGTCTCCTGGGCAGGGGCAGCATGTCTGCATGGATGTCTGTGTGCCGGGTCTGGATCTGCTGTGTGCGTGTTTTTGTCTGCCTGCTGGGAGCCTCTGTCTGCATGGGGGCCTGTGCTGGGGACACATGTGTCCGGGTGGGGATGGGTATAGTTCTGATGCAGGTACCTGGGTGCCCTGTGAGTGAAGCCAAGTGTGGGGTCGGGGATGCGATTCTGCACTTACGGCAGGTGTGGGGGGCATATGGGTTGTGTGAGAGTATCTCTGCAGGGCCTGCACGCCAGGCTGTCCGTGGGCAACTCTGTGTATAGGGCATGAAGCTCTCCGGCTCCACACTCGGCAGCAGAGCACAGGGTGCTCCACATACCTAAATGACGAGAACTCAAGGTCTCCGCTGCAGATTCCGCCTCAGATTCTATCAGATAAGGAAACACTGGCTGCATCTTTCGAGAGGGAACCTGAGACCAGAAGAGACAGATGTGCACCTCAAGCCCCACGGCTGCTGAATGGCAGCTTTTAGAGGAAGCTGGCGGTCACAAGTCACAGGAGCCGTGGGCAGTGAGAGGCCCAGATCACCAGGGAGATGGCAGCATCAAGGATGGCGGCCATGCAAAGGTGAGGGCTTTGGCCACACTGGGTCTGACCTCGCTAAGATCTGACCCAAAACCTCCTGGTGCACAGCTTCACGCCACCCCCGACAGACACCCAAAGCCCCAGAACGAGCTCATCCATGGGGGACCAGCACAGGGGCTGCACCGCAGAGACTCCTGACCCCTCCCAATCCACAGGTCCAAGGTCACAAAGCAAGGGTGGGTCTGGAATTTGAATTCCAGCCCCTGTCCCAGAGCCCACACTCTGAAGAGCTCTGCTGCCTCCCATAGTCTTTTCAGGACAAAACTGCACATTTCTGCTGGCCTCACATAGGCACTGAGCCGGCTGGGGAGAGAAAGGCACAGAGGGTCTGGGCAGCCCAGGCGCAGAGGCAGGAGACGCAGTGGACGAGCAGTGCAGGGTGAGGGTGGGGGCCGAGGCTGGGGGCTGCCCTCCCAAGTCCATCCTGCAGGGTTCTTGGTCCAGGGACCTCCTTGGGGAGTGGCAGGGTGGGCAGAGCTGCTCCCCCTCATAGCATCTACTAGCTGGCCAGCCTCAGAGGCCGCCATGGCCCAGGGCTGGAGGAGCCCTCCACACACACCACCCGCCATGCCCCAAGCTCAGCTCTGTGGTGCTTCGTCGTCAGCCATTCCTGGCCCAAATGCGTTCACAAAATTACGCAGCTTGTTTATCTAACTGGCTGAGCTTCACCTTGAGGTTAAGTGGAGGATGCATGGAGGGCTTACCAGAGGCACATACGGTGCAGATAAGCAGGAAAAGCCCAACCACACTACACACAAACAGATTTACTTTAAAACGGGGTGGGGAGAGAGGAGAAACAGGAAAATAGGAAAACAGGACATAGGACTCAGGTGGCCAAGAATGTTACCAAACAAAAACCAAGCTGCTGGGTAACCCACTGCCCACCCATGACCCAGTCTCCATGGACAGCTGGCCCCCAGCTCTGTTGGGAGCCAGTGGGTAAGGGAGGCTGGAATCTGAGCTCACAGCCCCAGTGGACCCTGACCCAGACCCCGACAGACGCTGACGCAGACCCTGGCAAATGCTGGCCCCCAGCTCTGTTGGGAGCCAGTGGGTAAGGGAGGCTGGAATCTGAGCTCACAGCCCCAGTGGACCCTGACCCAGACCCCGACAGACGCTGACGCAGACCCTGGCAAATGCTGACCCAGACACTGATGGATGCTGACCCAGGCCCCGATGGACCCCAACCTGGACCCCGATGGACGCTGACCTAGACCCTGATGGACCCTGACCCAGACCCTGGCAAATGCTGACCCAGACCCTGATGGACCCTGACCCAGGCCCTGACGAACACTGACCCAGGCACTCATGGACCCCATTCCAGGCACTGGGGGTCCCCACAGGGATTCACACCCCACAGGGATGCCCACCCTTAGGCCCCTCACTGCATCCCTCCCTAACTGGCCCCCAGACCATAGCACAAGGAGCCCCTGGAGAGGCTGAGCCGCTCTTCCAGGCAAATATCCTGGTTTCCAGGCACACACAAATTTATCAAAACCCATCACACCTCAACACTAAGCACATTACTGTGTAAACTTTGCCTCCACAAAGAAATTTAGAAAGGGCTAAAGAATCCCTACAAATCACTTACTAAAAGATGACACCATTGGGAGCAATGTGGAAAAGACACACAGAAGCAGAAACACGCATTGATACCAAACCTGTGGGACAAGCAGGAACATACGAGTCACCAACACAATGAGACGCTGCTTCTTACCCACTCAAGTGGCCAAGACTGAGAATTCCACGACACCACCTGCTGGAGAGGGTGGGAGATCCACAGGAGCTGTGAAACCACATTGGGAAAAGAAGTTGGTATTTTCTTAGGAAGTTTTGAGTAAAGTTTGATCTCAGCACTCCCATTCTTACGGGTGGATTACAAGAGAAATATTCACACGACAACCAGGAACCTGGCACAGGAACGTCACCCAGTGCCATTCGCAATGACAGAGGACTGGGGATCGTTCCAGGTGTCGGTGAACAAAGAACGTGTTATGACTTGGGGTGTAGTCACACCACGGAATATTACACAGGTGTCCAAGTGAGCGGAATGCAGCTGCTGAGAAGAGGGAGAGCCTTGACACCAAAGAGCAAGACCTAGAGGACAGCGCACAGCCCAGCGCTCTGGGTTATGAAGCTTGAATCCCAGCAAAGCTCCGCCTGTGTTTCAGGTCATCAACGTGCTTTCAAGAAAGCCGCCAGAGAATCCCAAGGAATGGTACCTCTGAGAGTGGGAGAGGGGAGGAGCTAAGCTCATCGCTTAGTAATTGTCTGTGTCCTGTGCTGAGGGGTTTATGTGCTCTTTGTATTATTTTATAAATAGATGAATAAATGCCATGCATCGAAAAAGAAAGAAAATGAAATGGGTGTTCCGAAGGCAGCCTGTTGGGTAACATTCAGCAGCCCCCAACCTCAAGGGAAGGGCCTTGAGTCTGCGACCTGTCCCGGGTTGGCGTCCCCAGGGTCAGGTCACCGGGACGGAAGGTTGCATGGAAAGCCCTATTTGCCGCTGAGCAGAGTGTGGGGAGGCCTCCCAGCTCGGCGGGTCCCTCCATGGGCCTGCAGAGCACCTTACAAATCGCTCTGGGAGTCCCACCAGAGCGACAATTTGCAATGAGGGACTTCCAGCATGGGGAGCAGATACGGGGTGAGGAGGGCAAGGTCACAAAGGAGCAAATAAGAAACACCAGCGGGGGCGGGTAGAGACGGGGCTGGAGGAGACGCACCTGCGAGGGAGGTGGGTCCCGTCGGTGACCTTGGGCTCCACGCAAAGGCCTGGGGAAGGCTGCGAGGACTGCACCCAGGGCCAGGGCACTGAGCCTCGAGCTGCCTCACTGGCGGTTCCATCTCGCCCGGGACGCTGGCGGGCTGGGGACGGTCCTCAGAGCACCGGTGAGGAGGGGATGGTAGAAGGCTGGGTCAAGGGTCACCGGGGAATTTCACTTATCCATGGGGACCCCGCCACTGTCCGGGCGCAGACAGACCCAGAGGCACAGTGTGAGGTAGGGGTCTGGGGCTCATCTCCCCAGAGAGGGGAGGGACCTCCCAGAGGAGCTGCTGCGCGGGCCTGCAGAGCTCCTTCTTCCACCACTGTCCCAGCTCACCCTCCACCCCCCACCTGCCCTCAGACACCCAAATGCAGGCAGGTCCGGGAAACAAAACCCCATGCCACACAGACCCATTGGAGGCTCTGAGTGGATGGCTCCCACCCTTCCCTTGGGCACCCCTTTGCTGGCTCAGAAAGTACAAGATAAAGATGTCAGGGCCTAAAACGTGGGGAGAAGTCTCCCTCACCTCTGCAAAACCCCTGGAAGCTTTGTTCACCCTATAGGGTGCCCCTGGCCCCTGGGGGCCAGCAGGGTTGAGCTCCAGGAAGGGCTCCAGGGCACATAGCCCCTGAGATAGCACATCAGGAAGAATGGGTCTTCCCTTGCACTGTGTGTGTACATCTGGGGGTGTGCACCTGGGTGCATGTGTGTGCACCAGGGTGTGTGTGCGTCTGGGGAGGGACGTGCGCTGGGTGTGTATTGTGTGCACCTGGCCATGTACCTGTGTGTTGGGGCAGGGAAGATTATGCATCTCAGGGCGTATAGGTGTAAGGGGGGTATACCTGATCATATGAGTATGCACAGGTCCCAAGGCCCCTTGGCCAGGTGTTAGCTCTGGGGAAGCGTGCATGTTGTGCTGAGAGGTGGGGATGATAGATAAGTACTGCGGCAGGTCCCAAAGGTGCATGGTGGGACGATCACCCTCCCTGCCTATGAGCCTGAGCCCCTGCCCTAAGATCCCAGGAGGGGTTACAGTGCTGTTACCTAGCTCTCACCAGTGGAGCAGGGCTCTGAGCCCATCACACACCACACCCAAATCTCTCCACTGTTCCAGTGTGCTCAGCAGTGACCTCCCTCACCAGGAGGGCCATGTACAATTCCAGCAATACTCTGGTGACAGAGGTGGTCTTTCTGGGCTTCCCAGAGTGGCGCCATCTTCAAGGGCTGCTATTTGGTCACTCCTCATCATCCATGTGGGGACCATCAGAGCCAGCCACCACCTGCACACATCCACGTACCTCTTCCTGGCCAACCTCTCGGTGCTGGAGACCCTGTACACCTTGGTCACCATCCCAAAGCTGCTGGCCGGCCTCCTGGTACCAGCGAGGACCATCTCACTCCTTCTTGGGGCACCCCACCTGGCTGCTCCTCTTCCTCTCACTTAGCTCCTCTGAGGGCTTCCTCCTGACCACCATGGACTGTGACCTGCCCCCAGTCATCTGCCACCTGCTGCACTACCCAGTCCATTATGGACTCCAGGCTCTGCATGCACCTGGCCCTGAGCACCTGGCTTTGTGGCTTCCCGGCCTCCTTTATGTCCATGGCTCTCAACTCCAGCCTGAGGCTCTGCAGCCCCCAAGTCCTCAACCACTTCTGTGATATCTCACCCCCACTACTGTGGCTCTCTTGCTCCTGCACCACTGCCATAGAAATGCTGGACTCAGGCAGCCCAGGTGATCCTTGTGGCTTTCCTGCAGGCAACCACCGTCTCCTACACCCTTATCCTGGCCAGGTTGCTAAGAATTCCAGGAAGGTCCAGCAGCCAAAGGCCTTCCCCACCCATGTCTCCCACCTGGAGTGGCGGCTCCTCTGACCTCATCAAGCTGGTGTCGGGGGTCTACTTGGTTAGGATCCCTCAGCTGAAACCCATCATCTACTGCCTGGAGAACTGCAACATCAGGGAGGCCCTGGCCAAACTCCTCCAGGCCCTGCACGTTTAGAACACCAGCTGCAGGAGGGAGGGCTGCCCAATCCCTCTTCCCTTCCCTGTGCTCACAGACACTGGTGACCCCCCAAGGCAGCCACAGCCCACTCCCACCAGGGCAGTCAGCAAGCCCCACCCTCGCCCATATCACCCAGAGTCAGAGTTGCCAAGAGCATAGAGTGGCCATAGGCAAGCATCTCCATGAGCAGGGGAGGGGCAGAGACACCAGACCTGGACCTCAGCACTGCTGGGTCCCAGCCATGGCAGCTGGAAGCCTCCCCCAGGAGAAGCTGGGCCTGGAGTTCACAGGAAACCCCCTCTCATGGCCACTCCCCTGACCCTCTCAGATGAACAGCTGCTATGGAGGCCAGTTATTTTGCCCACATCTCTGTGATGCTGGAAAAGGGACTTGACAAACTGCATTTCTGCTTTCTGTTGAGAAGTCAGCTGCCAGTCTTACTTTTACTCTTTTGTAGGCAATTTGAGTTTCCCCTGCTTCTGGAAGTTGTTTGGTTTACAGCTGTGTTACCTAGGTATGCTTCTTTTTGTATTTATTGCACTTGGAGTTTGTAACACTTCTAGAATTAATGATTTAATTCCTTTCATCAGTTTTTGGAAATTATTGGTGATTACTACTTTGAATATTACATCTACCTCATTCTTCCTCTTCTTCCATTGGTTCTAATATTACATGGCACGTCAGGCTTTTTTATAGTGTACCCTCTGCCTCCTAACATCCTATTCTCCACACTCTTTTTTTTTTCTGGATTATTTTCTGATCTTCCAAGCTACTAATTCTCTCTCTAGCCATGCCTAATCTTCTGTGTTTTAAAATGTATTTTTTGATTCCAGACTTTCCTTTTAGTCCTTTTAGTTTCCCATTCTCTACCAAAATCCTCAATCTTGTTTTATTCCAGCAGACATGGACAGGTTCCTACATGAGTTTCTTAATGGTATCCTTGTTCTTGTGTTGGTCTCTGTCTAATCCTTGCCAAGACTGGGTTTTTTTATTACTATTGCTTTCTACAATGTCTTAATATGACATGGTGAGTTGCTCTTCTTTGATCTTCTTTTTCAAAATTATTTTATTAACAGTTATTTTAGGCCTTTATTTTTCCATATAGAGTTTAGAAACTTTTGGGTTCTGCACTATTTTGTTACTACCATAACAAAGTGCCAGAGACAGGGTGGCTTAAACAACAGAAATTTGTTTTCTCAGTTTGGCAGGGTTGGTTTCTTCTGCAGCCTCTCTTCTTGGCTTGTAGACACTGTCTTCTCCCTATGTCTTCACAGGGCTGTCCCTCAATTGGTGTCTGGGTCCTAAGCTCCTCTTGTTAACGACATCAAGCTCACCTCACCTCATTTAACTTCAGACACATCTTTAAGGTCCTATTTCCAAATGCAGGTACTAGGGGTTGGGACTTCAATGCATGAATTTGAGGGAAACACAGTTCAGCTCATAACAGAGCCTTTTAAAAATTATGCCAAGATTTTGATTGTAATTTCATTAAATTTATGGCTCAACTTGTGAATTCTCACCTTTGTAATATCCTGTTCATGCTTCATTTATGCAGATTTTCTTTTATATTCTTTAATAACTTTTTGATGTTCTCCATAGAGGTCTTTTACATTGTGGACTGTGGTGAATGGCTTTTTTTTTTTGGAGACGAAGTCTTGCTCTGCCACCTAGGCTGGAGTGCAGTGGTGCAATCTCAGCTCACTGCAACCTCCACCTCCAGGGTTTGAGTGATTCTCATGCCTCAGCCTCCTGTGTACAGGCACGTGCCACCACGACTGGCTAATTTTTGTAATTTTGGTAGAGACGGGGTTTCACCATTTTGGCCAGTCTGGTCTCAAACTCCTGGCCTTAGGTGATCTGCCCGACTTGGCCTCCCAAAGTGCTAGGATTACAGGCATAAGCCATCATGCCAGGCTATGAATGACTTTTTCTTTTACATTTCCTAAAGCTATTTTTTGTTCTGGTAGAGAAATTCTACCATCCTTTAAGTCTAAGGTACACATCTAGCTGCAAGTCTAGGGAGTACCTACTTAAAACAGGGGCGAGAGGTGAGACACCCAGTAGTGCAGAGCAGCAGAGCAGCCCCACTGTGTGCCCAGGATGACCCCACCCTCCAGCCGCATCACTGTCTTGAGTGGAAGTCACACATCCCCTCCCAGGACCAGGGGAGGGAACAGTCACAGACTTTCCTCATGAGCCAAAAATAAGCGAGGTCTGGCTGTGGCGCTGTCCACTGCTGGCTCCAGCACCAGCGGTTGCCCAAGAACCCCCTTGACTCCTTAGAGTAAGCAGCTCACTGCTGGCTGTTCTTTGTGTGACTGGAAAGGGGGACTCGACCAGAGTGTGCAGATCTATGATGACCCCCACTTCCACCTCCACATCCCACATCCCCTCCCTTCCAAGCTTGTCCTGCCTGATGGCCAGCACCCCCGGTCCGGTCTGGAGTCTCCCGGGGCCCTTCCTGCTCTCCTTGTTAATTTATTTTCTGTCTTGGAGGGAAGCTGGGTGGACCTGCTCAGGCGGCCCCCTAGGGCCAGAAGACCTGTCAGTCACTTTCAAATACATGCTCTTTCCAGAGGTTCTAAAAACACTGTTGTCCCTCTCACCCAGAAAGCTAAGCTTCTGTTCAGTCCTTAACGGTAGCTATAAATGAGAAGCACAGCTTGGTTTCCTTCTAATATCCGGCAAGTTAGAAGACAGAAAGAATTTATTTACTTATTCATCACATATTTGCAGGGCAACCCTACACGGGACAGCAGAGGTCCCACGCGGGCGCTGCACCCGGAGCCAGGCTCAGTTGAAACTCACCGGAGGCGCGGCCGCCCTGGGCTGGGAAGACGCCGTGGGCCCAGGTGGCATCAGAACCCACAGGAGGGAGGCAGCTGGCCCAGGAGGGGCCGTGGCAGACCTTTGGGGATCGCGAGAGTCGACCCCATCCTCCTTGAAACAAGGTCGAAGGTTGAGAAGGTCCCTGCCCAGTCCCGCAGCTGACAACAAGGGGAGAAGCCGCACCTGCCGGGGTAGGGACCGCGGGGTGGGCTCGGGCCTCCGTGGGGCCGGCACAGGGACCCTCTCCTCTCAGGACCTCGGCCCTCATCCCCGGGCACCGGGACTCACAGGCGGATGGGCCCAGGTGGGGACCAGGGTGTGAAGGGGGAGGAAGCGGGGCGGGTGGAACGGGGCCGGATGCGGGGGTCACGGGGGACGGCGGAGCCCAGACTTTGTGATGCAGGAGACGGAGGGGACTGGTGACGGAGGACTGGAGGCCGCGAGGATGGGGAATGGGGACGTCCTTTTCCCCTCCCACGGCTCACCCGGATGCGCCTCCGCGACTGCCCGCCCCAATCCCAGGGCGCAGGCCTTGCGCAAAACCCAGGCGCCTCGGCTCCGCGCTCCGGCTGAGGGTCTGCGCCGCCGCCCGCCCGCTCCTTCTCGCTCAGCCGCGGCCCCTGGGGAGGATACTGTGGCGCCCGGTTCCAACTGAGGCCTGTGGCGGGTAAGGCCGGGAGGCTGAGGCGGGTACAGAGCCGGAAGCGAGGGAGGGGATGCAGTCGTCGCCCAGGTGGCCGCGTCCAGAGGCGGCCCCGCGACTCGACCCTGTCCTATCCCCCGCCAGCTGCTGAACCAGGCGGCCAGGGACTGCATGGAGCACGGGGCTTGCGCGGGAGGGACCGTCCCTGGGGTACTGGCCTGCTGGGGCGGGGTCCCCATGGTGTCAGCAGCCGCTTGTCCGCCGCAGCACCCGCAAGGCCCGCACCCAGGTTCTGGCCCCAAAGGTGGGCGCTAGGCCCAGGCACTGCTGGCCTGCGCTGCAGACCCTGATCTGAGTCAGCACTTGGTCCCCGCTAACACGTACTCCAAACACAACACCCCTCCCCTCATGCTGCCCCCCGACATCCCAGCAACGCGTGCACAGCCCAGGAGCATGGCGGTCCTCCCGCAGGCCTACCTCCCCGCACCCAGGGCCTGGACGCCCCCCGAGGCCTGGACACTCCCACCGCGGGGCTCCATCCCCCCTTCTACGCCCCCAATCCAGGTACACAACCTTCAGCTGCAGAACCCTCCTGCCCCACCTGCCACTTCCCAGCGCATCCCCCAGGCCTAAGTCCTTGATGCTAGAGGTTAAACCGCACCCCCCTAGGCCTGCGTGGGCTGAGGGCACCCTGATCCCACAAAAGCCGAGGGTTCCTCTGCTCTCCAGCCCTGAGGCCTCCGCCCCTGGGCACCCGATCTCCATGGAAACCGAGGGCCCTTTCCCGCTCTTCCTGCAGGCTTGGCCCCATGAAGATGAACTAGGCACCCGCGACGTGCTTGGCACTGCTACCGGCGGCCGCTTTCCTGAGACAGCGGTGCAGCCAAGGGCGGCCGCGGAGGGCTCCGCGGGGGCTTGATAGGGGCCTCGAGGGTGCATGTAAGGCCGGCGCCGCGCTATGGTGCCGCGGGCTCCTCGCTGCGCGTGGCTGCGGCCGGAACGGCCATGAGGGCGGCAGCGGACCTGGCAGCAAGTTCAGGCTGAAGAAGGGCCGCGGGACCCGGGGAAGGCGACCTTGGAGGACGATGAGAACTGGGTTCCTGGAGGCAAAAGGACCGGCCTCGGCAACTACACCTACTGGGCGTGGACTTTGGGCGCTGGACCCACGCGCGGCCCCCACTTCTGTCTCGTACTGGGCGGCGCCCTCAGCACCCTGGGGCTGCTACAGCCCTAGGCCTGGCTGGGCTCAGGGGCGACATCTGGCCCCCAGCCCGCGCCGCCTAACCTGACCCCTAACCCTTAAATCCAACCCTAACCCATGACCCAACACCTGAACCCTAACCCTAACCTCAACCCATAACCTCAACCCCTACCCCTAACCCTAAACTCTAGCCGCAGCCCGAGCCCGAATCCTACTGCTACCATAAACCTAACCCCCGAACCCAAACTTGAACCCAACCCACACCCCTAAAACCCTAACCTAAACCGAAACCACAAACCCTAACCCCTAACCCTACTGCTACCCCTAACCCCTAACCCCTGAAGCTAAACCTAACCATAACGCTAAACTTAAGCACTAACCTAGCCCTACCCCTACACTAAGCCTTAACCCAACTGTAACTGCTAACACTAACCCTAACCCTTAAACCTAACCCCTTACCCTAAACCGTAACCCCTAACCCTAACCCCAAAACCAACACCTAACCCTAACACCTACTCTAAAACACTAACCTCTAACCCTAACAATCCTTAGCCTAACACCCAAACCCTAACCCATAACCCTGACCCTAATCTTCTATCCCCGAAACCCTAACCCCAAACCCTAACCCTAACATCCTAACCTCAACCCTAAAACCCTGACCCTAACCATTAAACCCTGACCCTAACGATTAAACCCTGACCCTAAATGCTACCCCTACCCCAACCCTGGACCAACCCTAACCCTACCCCTAATCCTTCCCCTACCCCTAACGCTAACCCCAAACCCTAACCCCACCCCAACCCTAAAACTAACTTCTAACCCCTAAACCCTAACCCAAACCCTAACTCTACCCCAACTCTAACCTTTATCCCTAACTCTAATCTGTAGCCCTAACCCAAAACCCTAAGGTAACCTTCTATATGTTGGGATTCGAGGCTTTGTATTTAGGACGGGCGGGTGTTCTGCTGTCTCCCACTCACCCGCACGGGAAGTTCTTCTGTTGGTTCTTCACAACCAGTCAGGGTGCATTGCGGCCTCCCCTGGCCGGTGAAGGGTTGGGTTCTCCCGAAAGCCTCGGCTCCTCCTCCCTCCTCCCAGTGCCCTCCAGGCCTCCCTGGTGGCCCCAGCGTGGCAGGGCCCGTGCAGAAGGGACCGTGGGCTTGTGGCCGGCATGGGCCGCTGTGGGCATGGAGCTCACGGGAACGCGGCCTAGGGGCAGGCTGCGCTCCTCTGCGCCAGCGGGAACAGCGGGCCCCGCGGGGGCTGCCACAGACGCGTCACTTGCTGGGGTCCGTGCACTCCCGCGGTGGCGTGGCCAAGCAGAGCCGCGACCCCGTGAGGTTGCCGGGGCCACGGCGCCTCGTGGAGTAGTCCGTGAGACACGCACATTTCACAGGCAGCTGCTAAGTGGCACACGCGCACTGCTCACTCGTGGGGAGGGCCTCCAGAACCAGGGCCGGCCCCCTCGGAAGCCAGCACACATGCGCGGGAGCACCCAGAACCGGGCCAATCGCGAGCCTGGACGGCCGGACGTGGCCCTCGCGGGCTTTGTAACCCTCGAGCCTTTACGCATGCGCACTAGCTGCCAGGCAGGCCGGCCGAACATTACCTCACATATCCGGAGCGCGCGCGAGAGTGCATTGCGCAGGCGCGCTGCCTGGAGTCCCGCCCCCTGCAGGGGTTGCTCCAATCACCACTGGAGGCTCCCTCCCAAGCCACCCGCGCTGCTGAGCTGAGAGGAAATGGCGGGGAGGTCTCTGGCGTCGAAGGCCGAGCCCACCGCCGGAGCCATGGACGGGGCTGAGAAGGCCGAAGGTAGTGGAGGGAGGCAGGGAACTGTGCGTGAGGGTCTGACCTCGCCGAGGCGGGGCAGGGTTGGGGCGCGGGTGGCGGCTACTTCTTCCTGTCAGTCCTGATGGTGCTGACTGAGACTTAGCGGGTTTCTTCAGAAAACTTTCCGCCAAGATGAGGGAGTGCTTGCCCGCACACCCCTCACTTCGTCTTAAAGCATTGAACCTTGCTCCAATTTTGGTTTTTAGGTAATTAGTCAAAAGACATCCTGTCGTTCCACAGACTTTCCATACACACCTCTTAAAAAGGACATTTTCCTGACGCTCCCAATCCCAAGGGAATTCCTAATTCCACACTCCTCTTCCTAGAACCAGCAAGTGTCCAGATTTCCCGGTCGCACTAACCTGGTTCTTGACAGTGGGTTCCCACACCCAGCATCCCGATGCCCCGGGGAGCCGGGGGAGGCCGACTCCGCGCAGATCTCCCGTTTGTTTCTCCCCGACCCCGACCTGCCGTAGAGGCTCCTACCTCACCCTGGGAAGGGAGGGACAAGGCAGCTGGTCAGAGTTGTACAGAAGTCCCGAAATTGCAGCCCAAAAAAGAGCAAGAACACTGTCCTGGCCGTTTCCACTTCAGGACGCTGTGTACCTCTGGGTGTTCTGGGAGAATTTTCAAACTTACACAAAAGTGGAGAGAATTGTACGGTGACGTCCCTCCTGCTGTCACTCAACTTGTCACTCTGTCCTGAGCTCATGTGTCCCCCCTGAGTTAAAACGCTGCAATTAACAAACGCCACGGTGGCTGCCTCCAGCCCTACCTGCGTGAATATGATGGCAGGTGCTCTGTCGTGTTCTTACAAAATGAAGGTTTGAATACTGAAACAAGCTTGGCACAGAAAGCATCCCTACAGTGAGATGTGGCACAGTGAAAGCCCCAGTGAAGGACAAAGCAAGTAAACAGGACAGACGCAAACGTATCCCTTTCATTAAGCACCTACTGGCCCGCCACTGTGGTAGCCTTTCAGTATCACAGCTCCATGTTCCTCACATAACCTAGTATATTTAGATAAGGTTTAACCAACGTTGCTTGTGCCTTCGTTCAAACTGCTACAACAGAAATGCCATTATTTCTCACAGTTTTCGAGGCTAGAAGTTCAAGATCAAGGTGCAATGCAGCGTCTGGTGGGGGCCTGCTTCCTGGTTGTAGACTTCTGTCTTCTCATTTTGTCCTCATATGGGGGAAGTTGCTGCCGGCCTCTCTGGTTTTATAAGGGCACTAATCCCATTGCTGAGGGCCCTACTCTCATGACCTAATCACCTCCCAAAGGCCCCACCTCCTAATGCAGTCACACTAAGGGATTAGGATTTCAACATACGAATTATGGATGGGGGCACAAACATTCAGTCTATAGTGACCAGCTGTAGAAGAAAGTTAAAGGACAAGATTCCAGTTTTAGTCGGGATGTTATCTAGGATCAGTGACACTAGATGCATTTTAGTAAAAGGTCTGTTAGTCTCCATCTAACTGGCTGCAGTTATTACTATAAAGGGGAATGACTGGGGAAAACGAATGTTTGTGTTTCAATTTTTTCTTCATGCTTTTTCACACATGCCAATTACTTGAATAATGTAAAAATTCATAAATTTATGAGCAGTGATTTGTGTAAGATTTCAGGTGGGACCAAAATGAGGGGACTCTATAAACTCAAAAATAAGCATTTCACAAAACTCTATGCTTGATTTTTTTTTTTTTTTTTTTTTGAGACAAGATTGTGCTCTGTTGCTCAGGCAGGAGTGCAGTGTTACAATCACTGCTCACTGCAGCCTTGACCTCCTGGCCTCAAGCAATTCTCCCACCTCAGCCTCTTAAGTAGCTGCAATCACAGGTGCATGTCACCACTCCCAGATAATATTTTTAAATTTGTTATTTGTAGAGATGGGGTTTTGCTGCATTGCTCAGGCTGCTCTTGAACTCCTATGCTCAAGCAGTCCTCCTGCTTCAGCCTCCCAAAAGTGCTGGGATTATGGATGTGAACTACTGAGCCTGGCCTTATGCATGTATCCATGATTTTTAATGGCTGTAAATGATTTATCCTGTGTATGTGCTATAATTTATTTAACAAATCCCCTAAGACATATTTAGGCTTCTTCCAGTTTTTTACTATTATAAACAATATAGTGATGAACACCTTGCGCATTATCCATATCAGAATTACTTAGGACATAGTCTTAGAAAAGAAGATGCACCCAAACTTTTGATATTTACTATCAGAGAGTTTGTAAGGAGACACCTTGATTTTGCATATCTGGTTGACAAAGATGAACACATTTGGAAACACAGGTGGTTGGTAAAAATGAAAAACTGGGCATCTTGTATACATCAGTGGAGGGTAATTTGGTAATGTCGATCAAAATTGTGACAAACTTTGGTCAGGTGCCTCTGAGCCTTCTCAACCATGCCTCGGCCTTGGCCTGTGATATGGTTTGAATCTGTGTCCTCACCCAAATCTCATGTTGAATTGTAATTCCCAGTGTTGAAGGTGGGGCCTGGTGGGAGGTGGTCGGATCACAGGAGACCAATTTTATTTAGATAGTGACCACCTATCTTTTAACTGGATCTCTGAGCTCTGGGAAGAGGCCACACTGAATCATGGGTGTCCAAAAAGGGAGAATTATTATGAGGCTAGACCACATGGATGCTTTAACAGTGCACTTAAGAAACATTTTTTTAAAAAAAAATTCTAAGTGTCTAAAATATACTCTTCCTTAAAAACGCAAGAGTAGCTTCTGTTGCAATAATTAGTGTAGTAAAAAAAAAAAAAAAAATCAGGTGAAAACAGGATTCAGATAACTGAGAAGAAAAAGAAAAACTTTTGTTAAAAAAAAAAGACAAGGTCTTAGGAGAGAAAAACAAACAACAACAAAAAAACAAAAACATGAAGGCCTTTCAAATACAAACATGCACACATACACACATGCATCTTGAGTGTGTTATCCTTTTAATTAAGCTGACTTTTAACCATTGAGCTCCTTAAAAAAAGAAGTTTCTTTAACTCTTATTACTATATTTCAGCGAGGATAAAATGCTGCTATTTCAGAAGTACAGTCAACAACAAGAGTTAAGCAAAACTAACAATGATCACACAAATTATACAATTTCTGAGTGTTCTAAGTGTAAGTAGAAATTAACACCAGCTGGCTGGTAAATGCTAACTTTAGTCACTTAAAAGGAATTTGCAAGACAGAATCCCAAACCAGTTTCTTACCTAGTGATTGGTCTTGGGCTGTAGACTGCTCTCTACCAGCCTAGAGGCAGGAAAAAAACCCTCATCTTCCCTGTTGGAAGCCGGCTCAAACTCCATAAAGGAGTTACCTGCCTTTCATCGTCACAGAAGCAGGAAAACTTGCCTTCCTGTTGGAAGCAAGTAAAACTCCAAAAAACAAAAAGAGGAGTTGTACAGCAAAATAAACTTTAGATCTCCACCAAATTTGGGGAGATCAGGCATTTTCTGTAGAGGGTATTTTCAGACCTCAGCAAATTGTCCTATTGGTTTGAGGCATAGAGTTAGCTCATGCTGGTACCATGCACCGATAGGAGATTTGTCAAAGGTGGGGGGCACCTCCACTCAGAATCCCCCCATGGTTACCAAAATGTGAATCCTGAAAATTTGAGACAGGTCTCAGTTAACTTAGAAAGTTTATTTTGCCGAGGTTGAGAACACGCGCCCGTGACAAAGCCTCAGGAAGTCCTGACAACATGTGCCCAAGGTGGTCGGGGTCCAGCTTAGTTTTATACATTTTAGGAAAACATGAGACATCAATCAATATATGTAAGAAGAACATTGGTTCAGTCTGGAAAGGTGGGACAA